GGGGCCACGCTGTCCCCCCCCCCCCCCACACCAAACTGGACAAAGCATGTCTTCATGAAACTGGCTTTGTGCACAGGGGCCACGCAGGAACAGAAAAGGGTCTTTCCCAAACCGGTGCTACATTTTTGCCACATAGTAAGTGTTTTGCTCAGGTGTTCACAAACATTTTGGGAAAAGAACAAAAGAGAAGGGCGCCCTCTCCCTAGTGTAGATGGTTTTTAATAATAGAAGCTGCAAAACAGGATAAAAACATACTCACAATAGTGAATCAGAATAAAAGCTTTCCAGCAAAGCCTGGACGACATCTATAATGGGCTGCGCAGTCACCTGTGTACCAGCACAGGACTCCTTCGTTTTACGCGTTTCCGGGGGCCACGCCCCCTTCGTCAGAACATGGCCTCAACCTCACTCGTGCAGCAATAAATAGTGATGTGTATTAGAAGGGGGCCAATGAGCAGCGCTCAATGATAAGGGAAGCCGCCTCTCGGGACGGCTTGTCGGCTATATATCACCTTTAGAGGCGGATGCCCGGAAGAAGCGCTGTATTACTGTTATGGCAACCAAGACGCCCTCCCGAGAGGCGGCTTCCCTTATCATTGAGCGCTGCTCATTGGCCCCGTACTAATACACGTCACTATTTATTGCTGCACGAGTGTGGTTGAGGCCATGTTCTGACGAAGGGGGCGTGGCCCCGGAAACGCGTAAACAATTTTTTTTTTTTTTAACTGGAACACATCAAAAACGCGGCCAAAACGTGGCAGAAACGCACTGAATCAGTCTGCAGATCCGCACCTGATAAGGACCTGATCAGGACCTGATGTGAACAGGCCCTTAGCATTAAAAGAGAACTATGGGGTGAGTATTTTTCCCCATAGTTCTCTTAAGGGTCACGGGAGGACATATACTAGCGTCCTCCCGTCACCCAAAGCTCAGTATGTTGCGAGCTGCAGCTCACTGTATACTGAGAGCGCCGCAACCGGGACGGATCCCGACATTACTGTCTGGATCCGCCCAGCTGCGTGAGTGACAGCTGGCTCCGCCCATCTAGAGGCAGAGCCAGCTGTACCCGCCCCCCGCCCCCGTCCGTTCCGCCAGTCAGCGCTGGAGGATCGGACAGGGGAGTGATCCCTGCAGGGAGCCGTGAGTGACGGTCACCACTCTCTGCAGGGACAGGATCGAGAAGTGAGTGACGGTATGTGTTCTCTCACTTCCCGATCTATTGAGCCGACGTGTGACAGTTTCATTGTCACACGTCGGCTCCAACTATGAAAATCACCCCCTCATAGTTCTCCTTTAATGTATGAAAAAACGCACGTGTATAATTTTGCGCACCACGGCGCACCACAGAGCACACTGTAGACTCAATTCATAAAGATTTACCACCAGGACAAGGAGCTTTACTTGAGCCCCGTGACTTGTCATCGTCAAATCTTACTGGACCAGGCTGACCTTCTTTTTTCTTGCAGAAAGCCGGGAGAGCTCCTTCAGCCGATCTCGCAGCTCCAGCGTGTCAAGCATTGATAAGGAGACCAAAGAGGCCGTCACTGCCCTGTACTTCATGGAGTCCTTCGCCCGGAAGAACGACCCGTCGCCCCTCCCGTGCCTCTGGGTGGGGACCAGCCTGGGAATGGTGCTGATCATATCCCTGAACGCCCCCGCCAGTGAAGAGCAGAGGCAGGCGGAGCCGGTGGTGGCCACTCCGAGCGGTAAGTGGGTCAGTCTGTGCTGAGCGACGCGCCACAGGCCATGTGCGTTGTGGAATTTTAATGGCCCCAACAAAATGCGGCTGCATAAAACGAGGTGCATGTACTCTGACCAGATCCAGGTACCTCAGGAGGCAGCTCTGGACGGTCACATCGTTAGCTGGTTTTAAAGTAGAACTACGAGGCGGGTGCTTTTCGCTCATCCTCATGGTTCGATCTGACATGTGACAATGAGACTGTGACAGGTCGGCTCAGTAGATCGGGAGGTGAGAGGACACATACCGGCGCTCGCTCACTTCTCTATCCTGTCACAGCTCGCTGCCGTGACAGGGGAGTGACTGGATTCCCCCCTCCCCGCTCCGATCCTCCAG